GGCCTTTGTATCAATATATGGAGTGAGTTTAACAATTCCTTCATAAATCTTAAAATGCATAAATTGTATAATACTTTTCTTCTGAAAATATGCATTTAAAAAAAAATTGTATATAATATAATTGATCTAAAATCTACAGATTAGATTTACTGATATATGTGTAGATATCTTTATACATGCAACTAGATATGTTTAGATATTGTTTGAATTCTGAACTTAGAATGTTTGTCTTACTACACACATACTTCAATACATGTGTTATAATGGCTTTTCTTTTTAAATTATTATCAACAGTTGTAGTTCTTATTTAGTTTAGAGTTTTTTTTCATTATTTCTCAATAGATACACATCTTGGTTGGCAAAAGGCTTTTTTTATTTTCTGATGAAATTGTCTATCCACTTATATGGCACTGAAACACTGGATAGCACATAGTATTCCTGCAACATTTTCTTTGTTTTTTTTTATATCTTATGGTCCCTTTATACCTTACTAAGTTTCTGAAAAATATAATTTTGGGGGGGATGGATTTGAATTTTTGTCTGTACTAAAAATCTTTTCAAACACACTGGTTGACCTTTTAAAGTTCATCCTATCAATGCTAAAAGATTTCCAAACATTGTGGTATACATCTTATTTTTTCAGAATATGTTTTTAATTTTTTTATTCTTTTTCCAAATAATTAAATGTATATTATTGATTACTGCTTTTGGTGATGATTTGTATTCCAAGACTTACACCCATGAACGAAGTGATGATCATAACTTAAGAGATAAATACTGATGTCGGTTGAAGCTTTGAAGTGAACTTGTTTGTCAATCAAAAGCTGGAATGCCATTTGAAAAAACACTTGTCTGAAATCAGTATTTGATTAACAAGATGCTTTGATGTTTATAGAATCATATTAATTAGATTAAAATTGGAGATTAAAAAGAGAAAAATTAAATTAATTCAAATCACAAAGAATAATGGAATGAGTGTCAGCAGCAATGCAAAAACCTTGCAAAAGACAAAGATAATACATATGAAGAGAAATGGGATGATAACTGATATCTGAAATAAAAATGATATGGTTCTTCTAAGATAGATTACAATTTGGTGATGTTCATTTAACTGGACAAATGAACAAGTATAGCAAAAATCACTTGCATGCAAAAGGAGTCCAGCTTCCTGTTACATTCTGAAATATTTACTTTTGTGTTTGTCTTGTCTAGTTTTCACATGTCAAGAGTGCCTCTGTTGACTGAGAAAAACGCTGGTGTTATATAGCTCTTCCAGTTCCAGACCCATGCTGACTATTGGCTAATACCAGCCCAGTATCATTCATATGCAAATAACCTGTCACCTACTCTAAATAGGTTTCTCTCAACATTCCATTGTGGAAGGGGATGCAACTCCTGGTGATTACAGCACCACATACAACCAACTCAGTCTTTTATCAGTCAACCTGATTCTCTGTTACATTTTACTATTTGGTTTAAGGATTAAGACATCTTACATTGTCGTTTTTTGATTAATACAGAATATTACTGGATCCTCCTAATTATGTGACTGATTGAAATTTTTCTGAGGTCTTTCTTTCATATTTGTTATGACAATTTGAAGAGACTTTTCAAACTCTTTGAATTGTGCCAACAACACACCCAAAATTTAGACTAACAGCTTCGTGTTAATATATATATTTGCAATCTAACACTAAGTATCTCAATTTTCAGCATCACAAATAAAAATAATAGAATTTGTCATTATATATATATATATATATATATATAATTTAACTGATGTAAACATTTTAATACTAATAAAAGTGGGGGGAATATTTTAGGAACCTTTCAGGCAACTCTTCATCAGAGAAAATAAAACCATTAGTGAAAAAACAATTATTCTTAAACAGGAACAACAAAATACAATTTTAAGGGAATAAATGAAAGAACAAAACTGGTGACATGATTGAAATACAAAATTGTATTAATCAATATTTAGAAAATCAATTCATTTTGTAAATTAAAAACAAATAAAACTGAAAAACAAGCCAGAAAAAAGGTTTCAGGGGACAGGGGTGGGGAAATAGTTTGTTTGACCAGATCATTTCCTACCACTAATGTTGATTGATAATCCTGCATATTATGGTCAATTTCAAGAGAACTGGTTTGAAATCTTGCATAGGGTATGGTCTGGGTACCTGCTTAAGATTGGCAAAGCAGTCACTATCAAACTGAGAAGACCGACTCTTTGCCAGCAAGAGAAGACTTCTGTTTGTTCCATTATTCTTTTGGGAGAACATTAAATGTTCTCTCATTTATCCCCTTAAAATTTTATTTCATTCCTGTTAAAGAATTGTTTTGCTAAAAAAGTTCTCTGCTGAAGGGTTGGCTGAAAGGTTCCTAAGATATATTGCCTCCCTCCACCACTTTTATTAGTATTAATGATGTTTACATTAGTAGTTCTATTTAAAGTGATAATAAAATTTTGTTGTATCAAGTCATTGTTTAAATATATAAAATTTTAATTTATATTGGACTATGTGTTATGAAAAATATTTTAAACTATGCAACTCTCTTTTCCAGTATAATATATATCAGGCTGAACTAAACTGTTTGATAATTATTAAATATATTCAATGTTTGTCAAAGTTTCCTTAATATCTTTCTCTTCAACTTATGGACCGAATATAAGATTTCTCATTTTTCCATTTTATAAAATTATAAAAGGAAAGCAAAATTGATTTTCTGTGGGTAAAAATTTTATTTAAATGTTTTCTTTAATGTTGTACCATAATATATAGACATATTGATAAGCCAAAACATTATGACTAGTGACAAAAATGCCATATAACAACTGCAGACCAGGATCAGTAGTATATTAACAGTTCAGTTAGCCTTGAGTACTTCAGTTTGATGTGTTGAAAATCAAAAAAGATTAAATAACTTTGATAAATATGAAATTTTTATGGCCAGAAACGTAGATTAGAGCATTTCCAAAATCACATGGGCTGTGTGGTACTTATGTCCAGTTGTAGTGAGTGCCTCTCGGCAGTAAATCAAGGAAGGAAGGAGAGATAATCACTAACTGCTGACAAGATTTATTGATGCAAGTATAAACCAACAGACTGGTTACAAGCTACTTTAATCAAAGTGAAGGAATGCATAGTACATTGATCTTTATTGTGCATGGGGCTGTGTAGTTGCAGGTCAATCACACTACCCATGCAAATCAGCATTCATTGCCATCAGCATTAGAACAGAACCTATATATAAATGAAATACAGTTACTTGGTTCAGCTTTCTTTAGAATAAGATGAAAAGCGGAGTATTTGCATGCTGTTATCATAGAAAAGTGACGGCATTATGATACACTATAGGAAAATCAGATATTCTGCTGGGAAACACTGGGACTTGTCCATTCATGTGGAACATGTTTTTATTGCATCCTACTATAACATTGAAAACCAGATACACTCTTTAATAGCAATTCTAATATGATGGCAGCATTTTGCAGCTTGAAAATGGGTCCTGTTACACTGCACAAGTTGTATGAAAATGGTTTCAGGTACATGAAAATTTCATTGTGTTGTCTGGATACCAAACTCTCCAGATATCAATTACATTCAAACCTCATGGAATGTGTTATCTAGCAATCCCTCCACCATATAACTTGCATCAGTTAAAGATTTGCTGTTAATATCCTGAAACCAAATCCTAAAAGGAAAACTTCACAAGCCTTGTAGACACTATGCTTAATTGGGTAAAATCTTTTTTGTAAGCACAGAAGACTAACACCTTATTAGTCATAATATTTTGGTTTGTTTATTGTATAAGATGGTATGGATAAATTGTTGTCTAAATTATGCAAAAATGAAAATAATACTGACATCTCATTTTAACAAATATATTTAACAAAATCCCACAAAAATATCTTGAAATACTAAAGAGTAAATTTATTCAATGAAATTGCCATTGACTTCAACCACGGCCTCTAAACGACTTTGGAATTTCCTGCAACTCTTCTGGATGGTCTCCTTGTTTAAGTTGATGAATGCTGTCATAATTCTTGCTTTCAGTTCATCTTTGGTGTTACAAGTTTTTTTTTTTTTGTTCTCTTGCTCTATATATGAGAGAGATAATGAGACAAAGTGAAAAAAAAGCTTTTAAGCAATGCATTTCATCAATATGAGTGTGGGTTTTGGCTTCTTTATGTCAGTATGAAAGATAAACTGTGTGTAGGGAAAATGTATTGGGATTTTTGAGGATAAGTGGGGCAATAAATTAGGTTACCATATCAGATTTGAACACTAGAAAGTCTTTTTTTTTTTGTATGTATGTACATTGGTGAAACATCCATAAACCTAAAAAAAAAAAAGCATTACAAAGATATACTGAATAAAAACACTTGAAATGTACTGGTAGTTAACCATTATACATATTAATAAAGGGTAAACTTTGAAGTCAATGCATTTCATAAGGAACTTTATCAAGGCAAGTGTAGAAATTTTATTTAGTAACCTGTATTCATACAGTAGGAAAGCATTATGTGTATCTGCAGTAGATAAAAGAATTAAATTTTCTAAACAAAAAAAGAACACAACTTGATGCTGCATTGAGCTTAAATACTAAATTTTATTATGATTTGTACCTTGTCCAGATGATTAAAAATAAAAGAAAGAAACTTTCCAGTATAACATTTCAATTTTTTTTTTTTTTTTACAATATAAGTAGTATTACATGAAGTGCTAAGTTGCATATGTAATCTTAAACTTATGATAGAGGACTGAAAAGTTTAAGACTTGATCCACTTTTAAAAATATGACCAAACATTAGGATTTTTTTTAACTTTCAACACTCTTTCTCCTATTACTTCAAATGTTTTGTATAATGTCCCATTGTTTATTTTCATTGAAATATATTTTGAGTGTTATTTGGTGTATATTTTGAATGAAAAGTCATACATGTCAACTGATGTTTTGTTTCTAAATATTTTTCCTTAAAAATCTTTCATGATTTAGAAGAGGATGAGTTCCCCAATGATCCTGTTGGTATGTTGGAGATAAATTGTAAAATGAACTACACGATGTTGTGTTAAGCTTTGCACCCAAAACCAAAGCACATATTTGATACATTTTTATACACTGCCTTGATTATTTTTCTATTTTTTTTGCAAGGAGTAGTAACTATTAAATGTATGTAAACTTAGTTCAGTACATTGTATATTGCAACATTGTGTAAGCTGTTTGTGTGTCTATCTTTATATAATATATATATATATATATATATATATTTATATATATATATATATATATATATATATACACACTTGCTTTCTAAAAAGCTTCTTCATAGTTTAATTTATCTAAAAATGATATTCTTTTTACTCATCCCCCCCCCAACCATAAAAATATTTATAAAATTAAAAATTCAGAACTTTGGCCTGTATTTACAGAAAGCCTGAAAATATTTTTGAAGATCATATTGAGTTAATATTTTATGATGCTTTTATGTAGATGTATACACCTACATATTGCCTATGCTAAAATGATTTGTATATTTTATTCCTGTTCATTATAACACTCAATGCCCCCTTAACTTTGGTGCTCAGCTCTCTATAATACAAGTGCATAGCATAATAGATTTAGTTTAAAAATTACATTCTGATAAACGGGAAATACAGTATCTGAAATATGATGTATTAATGTTTCAAGTGAATTCTCTGAAAAACATTGACAAGGTAAATTTTCATCTAAACTTTTATAGAAACAAAATGAGTTAACTCTCCTTATATATATTTTACCCATAAAACGTTTTTCATTTTATGTGATTGTATCAAAAGTTAACTGATGTAAAAGGAAAAGATACTCATAGAGAAAGATAATGAAAGAGGATGACAAATGTTATATATATATGTGTGTGTGTGTGTGCGTGCACATGTGTGGTTAGTATTAGCCTTCTGATTATAATGGCCAGGTTTGAATCTCACCATGGTTGATAGCCAATGAGGTGACTTCTCGATAATATAAGCAGGGGGAGAGATCCCAGCATGCGACATGAATGTGAAGTGACTGAAAACCATATCAAGAGTTGAAGCAATCCTTGTGGATAAATTGTGTAGACAAAACTGTTTGGAATCCATGGATAGTTGTAATAGCCCAGTCATTGTGATTAAGGGTTTGAGAATAATAGTTTGTTCAGATTGTGTGCTCTCTCTCTCTCAGAAACTGCAATTAAGGTGTACTCAGCAGATAGTTGCTGGATAAAAGTCACAGGTTGGCTCTGTGAATGCTGAAACACAAATGTGCCTGTAATGGATGAACTAGCTATCCAGGCAGTTAGGCAAATTTTATTTATAATTTTTTTTATTGGATTTAGTTAGTAAAATGTCTAAAAAAAAAAAAAAAAATTGGTTAATATTTTGTATTTTAAAGGTAAATTCAACCTAATTGAGCTGTTTAACAATTTTTTTTAAGATTGAATGTGCTTGGAGTAATTATCACAGATATATCTTCGGTATGAGTTTCTTTTTGTATGTTTATTCTAAAAATAAGCATCAAAACCGTCCCTAAGAGGGCTATACATAGGGAATTCAAATTTTTGTTAGTAATAATTGTAGTTGAATTTGAAATAGCATAGATTACATATACTGATGATGATGATATCAATGGGTAGAAATGTGGAAAAGATTCTCTTAAAACTTCTACATACAATAGAAATACAAATCCATCTACTGAAATAATTGCTGATAAGAACTTAGAATTAAGGCCACCCAAGCACATCTTTCACTATAGAAGACATAATAAATCAGAAAATAAGAATGATATATATGTCTCTCCATAAAGAAATGGACTGCTCCACTATCAATACAGTGAAGTATAAATATCAATATTTAAATTTTGTAACAGTCTGTTTTCAATAAGTATCTGACAATTACATTGTGCATGAAACTCAGAGTTGTGCTACTGGTGAGAAAGAAATATATTTTTGTTGCTTACTGTACAATTTTACTATTTTATAAATGAGGCAATCATCAGACAGAAACTTGGAATTTTCTGTCCAGACAATCCTTTATTTAATGGCTGGGAGTTAGAGGCAGATAAAAAAATTAAAAAAAAAAAAAACTTAAAGCATAATAATGGTTACTATTGTCATCTTGGGTCTATAATTTTTTTCATAGGTATGTTTTTGCATTTATCATTTAAGGGACATTTGGCAATTGCATCTTTTTCTTGTTTTTGTATTTATCCAAATACTTTATTACACACTAACTCCTTCATATTCATTATTCAATTATAGCTTACTTTTAAAGTTCTTTGTATTGAATGTTTTTCTCAGTATTGGAGAACTTCTGAAATGTTTATTCACAAATTTGAGGAAGATCCTTGTTGCATTTTTATTTTGCAGCTGTATGGAGAGTTGAACCATAACACATTATGACATCTCTTTTTTTTTTCTTGCATTTATTTTACTACATTGTATTTCACATTCATTTATTTAAACATCATGGGAAACAGTAAACATATTTCACTATCACTTTGTCAAATAGTTCTTTTATTGCTCGAGTTGGTTGCCAACCTGTATTGCATCAATTTGTATAAGTGTTTAAGTATGATCAGTGGACGGTTTGATTCACTGTTTATGTACTTTAAAGTTCTTACTTCTTTTATATATAATTTATATTCTCCAGAATTCAATTGCATCTAAAACACTGTAGTCATTGAATTTTTCTAATGCCTTTCTTGATTTATCTTTCATAACACAAATTGTCAACCTTATAAGACATACAATGATAAAGGGTGAAAAATGTAATCTTTGCTTTTTAGAAAAACTTATACTACAAAATATGGGTAATCCTAATACATTAAATAAAAGTGAAGTAATAGTGACAGGTTGAATCATTTTTATCCTCCTCCTTTCCTGTCTTTTTCTTATGGAAATGGGCTATTCTATTATCTTTAAACAGCCATTAAATAAGTAGGTTAAGACAGATAATTCCAATTTTAGGTCTGATTTTATTCATCTTGCACATGACTTTCAGTAATATTTTGCAGTAAGAAATGACATAATTTTTCAATATATATATATATATATATCTTAGCTCTTTTCTTTTACATTATTTTTACCTCCAGCACTCACCAGACATGATGATTTTATTTGCTTTTTTATGGCTTATCAACCCTTTATTGGGTTATTTAAAGCCAAAACATATTTTGGATTCAAAGATTAAATCTTTGAGTTATTATTGCATTAACAATTTTGAGGGAGATAATGATTTTTTTTTTTCCAGATACAAGTCTTACTATTTAACTCTTAGCATGTTGGGGAGGGTGGGAGAGAAGTGCTGGATTCATACCTTTCCCAAGGGTACTACTTCCATGTAAGTGAATGTAATAAACTCAACTAGAATTCAAACATGGCCCTTTTGTTTTCTCATTTTGAGCCACTATCCATTACACCACCCATATATACTCCACACTAATATATATATATGACCCCATGTAGTGAATGTGATAAAATTAATATGGTTAAGATGGAGCAAAATTTCACAAATATTTCTGAACACAACAGGTCTATAGTTGTCCTAAAAATTCAATTTGATTAATGAAAAAGGTTTTTATAACATACCACTTTAAGTATTTTCTTACTTTGATCAAGGAAATTATTCAAATAGATATTAGTTAAACATCTTATAAAATTTTTTATATTTTTAATTATAAGTATTCACTATTTTCTTTGAGAGAAAAATAACATATATATCCAATCACTTTGTTTTATTCAGATATTTTAAAACTTTAACTGCTAAATATTTTTTTGCAGCTGGGTTGCCATGGTAATTATTTTCTTAGATCTTGATAATGATGCTCATTCAGTAATGAAATATCAAGAAGGAAATTAAAAAAAGAAAAAAATTAACATTCAACTAATTTTTACTTATTCTATCATATATTCATGAGAGAGTGAGAGATCATTAATAGAAATATCACCAGACTCCTGAATTATTGTAATGATATCAATTATTTTTATTTTATGCAATGTTAAATGGAGAAACTTCTGGACAAATTTAACTTCAAGTTATAGAGATATGTTAGAAAAGAGCTAAGCAGATACAGTAATTCCAGTAATATTTCTGCTCATTATAATATGTTTACCTGGTTAAAACTCCATACTTCTTGGATCATCATTAATATTGAAAAGCATGGAAAATTCAAACTTTGCAAGGCCAAAGTCTTTCCACCTTGTGGAAAAATGTAAAACACACACTTGTATAGGCAATAACCTAAGCATATTTATTAGATTTGCACAGCAAAAACTATGTTTTTAAAGATGAACATTCTTCAAAACCTGAAAACTAAGTTATAGACTAATTTCATACCATAAAACCATTTATAACAATTTTTTTCTTAGAAAATAGATTTTTATGTATGTAGATATAAAAAAAGGACTATTTTAAATTTACTAATTAAGCTACTCATATGGAGTAAAATTATGTTATTCAAAATTGAGTTGATGTGATTTTTCAAAAAAGAAAGATTTTGATGAAATAAATTTTCTTTATTTGTCTTGAGTGGTTACCAGTGCATGCTTTGTATTTTTTGTACTTTTTACAGTGTTGTTTATAAAAGTGATTTTTGACAGAGCACAAAGCTTATTGATTAAAAATAGTATCCTCACTTGCTTTTTATATGACACATTTTCTTTTTCTGAATATTGCATTTATTTTTTTCTCAAATTTCTGTATTTAGTTCATTTTCAGTGGATATAATATTGGGGTGGTGGTGGTAAATTCCAAGAATATTTTAATTTTTTTTTTTAAATTTTGTTGTTGGAAAGGTTTTGTGAGGCATTTAATTGTGTCAGTCAGGTATAGAGCATTAAAAAAGTTGCTATGAAATTACTGATCAAATTGAAATTTCTAAGGGAGAAAGATCTTAATGGGAGCTTGAAGTGCAAACATATACAAAATTCCATGTAAGATAAATACCTATTACTTAATAAATTAAGCTTCAGATTAAAATTCATATTCAATGACTTTATGTAAGGGAAGGAAATTTTAGTCCTTATCAATTTTCTTTTTTTTAGTTTGGTGATGTGGAATTTATAATTGGTTTCACCTCTGGTTCATATCAACAGCTATTATTATTATTATTATTAACAGCTCCCTTATAGTCTCTTAGTAAATGTCAAACATTAAAATACATGAGCTTGCATTTATAATTTATTACCAAGAGGGAAATATCAAATTAGTTGAAATAATCTTCTTCTGAAACAGTAAAAATTTTTATTTAAAAAAAATATGAAAATATTAAGGAAAAACTTTTAAATAACTTTTGGAATATTTACATAAATTTGTATTCTGTTTATTCCCTTGTTTTTTTTTTTTCTTTATAGCAAAGGCACCAAAAGAAGAAGATGCCCCTGTTACACCCACAGACGCTATCTTTCCTACATTACCTGATGTGAAATTATGTGCAGCCAATGCCATTGGTCGGGCAGCAAGAAACAGTAAATTTTTTACAGTATTTCCTCCTAGATCTTTTTGTAATTTTGTCTTCAATAAAAACAAATAATTTGGAGAGAGTAGGAAATATCTTAAATAGATAAATGGGAAAGTATAATACGTACAGTGAGAAGACCATTAATAATTGAATACAGCAAACATGTCCAACTGGGATAAAAAAAAAAGAAGTAAAAATACACAAATTAGAATCCTGCCATACAAATAAAAGGTATAAGCACAGATTTTAGAATATTTCTTTCGTTGCTGGCCAGTAAATCACAATTTTTTTTAAGAAAACAAAAATGGCTGTAATATAGAGCTTATGGAATATCAAGGTAATGATCATATTTGTAATCATTAAAAGAATGAAAGGTTTGAGAAAGCACTTCTGACAGGTCAAAATCACCTCACTATTTATATCGAAGGATCAAATAATAATATTAAGATTCTTTCATTACAAAAGTCTACTACTCATCTCTATTATGTTGTAAACTCTTCTAATAAATACTATTGACTATTCCTACAACATTAAGTTTAAACGGATAAATAAAATTCTATAATTACTCAATAGTTAATAAAATGTTATTTGTTTAGTTTAATATTGAGAAAATATTGAACATGAACAAGAAAATTAAGTGACCGTTTCCTATATTTTATAAATACAATTCTCTTGCAAAATTACTTAAATGTTATTTTATTTTTTTGATAATCCCAGTAAACTAGTAATGGCATAAAATGTCTTTTTTTTTTTTCCCATTTCAGAGGAAAGCCGAAAAATGTTACATGAACAAGAGACTGAAAAGATGTTAATTATTTTACTGAGCAATGATAATCCAGCAGTTCAAGCTGCTGCTGCCCGATCTCTTGCTGTAATGTGTGAGAATGTCAGTAGCAGAGTATCAGTCTTGGAATGGGGTAAGTGATTCTTTCTCTTTCTGCCACTGCTTATTATAAATATCAAATCATTTTATGTGATGAGAGATAAAAAAAAAAAAATAAATAGAAAGTAGACCAAAATTTCACCATCCCTAAAAATATATCGATAGTAAAAACTGGCAGGTAAACAAAGGCACAGTTCGAAGAACCAATCAGAAAGCTTTCACAACCAGGAATAAGGCTGTGAGCCAATGAGAAGTGAGCAGCCTACAGAGATATAAAAAGGTGATTATCTTCCATTGGTAGAGATAGGTCATGTGACTGCTGCTTAGTGATGTCACTCCATACAGTGACAAAAGTGGCAATCAATTTCAGTTTTGTTTATAGCAGCAAAACTGAAAGGTTGCTTTTAACTTGGGCCTACTATAGCCGAGACAGAGGCTAAATCTACCTCCCCAGCAGCTTACAAGTCTGTGGTGTCATTTCCCTTTGGGAATAGTCCTCAATTTGAGAAAACACAAGAGTCTCTGTTTTTCATTTGTTCAAAATTGGGACATAGATGAATCCAGTGTGTTAGAATCTGGAGTCTTATACATGGCTTCTCATATCTAAGACCTTTCCTTTTTGTTTCTCCTTACACTCTGCTCACTGTGTGGATATATTATTTGTATATATGTATATATATAGTACATGTGTATTTCTAGGTAGTGTAAAAAGTCTCTCAGAGAACAAAGCATATTTGTTATTCATTTTCCTTTCAGTCATTCTGTTCCATCTGAACTATGGTGTTATTATATCATGGATATAATGCAAATAATGGTGGAAACATAAATAGGAGAAAAAAATCTTTCTTCTCTAGCTCTTACTTGTTATAAGCCTTTTCAATGTGGATCTATAGATGTGTATATAAGTACAAAGAAAATCAACAAAAATCAGACTTGATGAATTAATCTTGTCCATTCTCCACAGCTATAACATTTACCTGGCTTTTTTTTTTGTTATTTGATTAATATATTAATTGTTCTACTCTCATCATGGCATTGGAGCAGAAGGAAAGTGTAAAAAAGGAAGTGTGTAAACCTAAGTATCAGAGGAACTTCATAGCTTCTTTGACTCAAAATAATAAATCAATCTGAGTTATCACCGCAGAAAAAAAAACAAAACTTTTCTACTATATACACAAGGTAAATAAACTTTATCAAGTTGTAGTGTACATTTCAATATTTGTAATAAATATAATGTTATTGTATTTTTTAACTGTATATAGTAATATTATTCTTTTTAAAGAGATACACATTTTATTATATATATATATATATATATATACTGTATTGTATATGTTTATTTATGCCATATATACATATTTATAGTATTTACATTATGATCATAACTACTAGCAGTTACTATAGTGGTTTTATAACTCAATATGGACAATTGTTTTCACAGACAATGCACTCTCCTTATTAGTCTGTAGGTTTGTCTGTATATGCATTTATAGATTAACTTTGCAAAGGCTACTCACTTCTCATTGGCTTGTGGCTTTATATTCTAGTTGTGAAAGCTTTCTGATTGGTTGGTCAAACTATGGTTTTGTTTGCCTGGTGTTCTTTATTAGCTGTATATTTTTTAAAGAGGATGAAATTTTTATTTACAGGATGTGATATATAAAATGGCAACAATTTACCTATCTAATTTTGTGTACATACATTGTTTGTTTTTGATTGCACAGTATAGCAGGGTCAGTTGGGTACTGCAATTCATTCCATCAGAAATTTGGAAACCGCATGCTGTACTGCTTGAACTTTATTCCGGAAGCTCCAATACAAACAGTTCAGAGTTTTTGCAGTGTTCTCAGATTGACACCCAGAGTATTTGGAAAGAATTGGATGAGTCTAATGGTGATTACAAAGGTATGGCAGCTTGGGAAACTCATTCTGATTGTTCTGAGAAGAAAAGAACTTCCAAATTTGTTGGTAAGGGCCTCAGACTCAACATGGAGGCCTATATAAAGTGCCTTGAGGAGGTAGTGCTGACCTGGGTCAAGAGGGTGGCTGCTGGAAGACACTATGTCTGGTAACAGGACTCTGCACTATGCCACACAAGCAGGAGAACACAGTCATGGCTGTCAGACAATTTCTGTAATAACATCACCCCTTACATCTAGTCACCTAACTCCCCAGACTGCAACCCCCTTGATTATTATGTGTTGGGTGCAGTTGAGTGAGAGACTAACAAAACTCCTTGTAACCCCAAAGATATAAAGCAAGGATTACAGCAGCATTCACCAACTTAGACAAGCAGACCATTTAGAAGAGTTGCAGGAGACTCCAAAGTCATGTGGAGCCCATGGTTGAAGCCAATGATGATTTTATTGAATAAATTTACTCTTTAGTATTTCAAGATATTTTTGTATGATTTTGATAAATATATCTGTTAAAATGAGATGTCAATGTTATTTTCATTTTTGTATAATTTAGATAATTTATCCATCGTACCCTGTATTTCTCTATCACCACAGATCCCACCATGAATGATAACAGTGGACTTGAGAAGTCTAGTTTCTTCAAAAACTGCTTCATGAGAATGATTTTATAAATTTCAACCAACAATAATGCTAATGGTTTGGTGATGTAATGGAATAACCTGTCACCCTCATGAATAGGTAGTAACTGCCTATAAGTATCTGTAAGTCAATGGACTACAGAGTCTAGCTGGGGATCTGTTCCAGCTAAACAGTTGAACTCTCTGCCTTCCAATCAGATGAGGCTCCGCCAAAGGGCAGAGTCTCATTCGGGGAGGTAGACTGCTCCTGAACCCGTTTATATGGGTTCGAAAGGGAATATTTTTGGCCAAGCCTACAGGCTCAGAGAACCCACATTAAACTGGCCTGTGCCACATGCAACCCCTGTTAAATATACTAGCTGGGATCTGTTCTATACAATTCAGACTTACGCAAGAACTACCGACCTTCCAATAGTAGCACTCACTACTGAATTGACTTGTGATGGCCTTGTGCATAACTGTTAACTTTATTCTTATTGTATTGGTTTTTACAATAAACCTTTACTTATTTCATCCACGTTTTCAAGTACATATTCTTATTAGCACAGAATATAACATTTGGTAAATAAATGCCAAATGTTTGTTTGTGTAAGAGGATTGTGTAGGAGGATTTCAGGTAGAAACCTAATGTAAGTTTTGTTGTAATCAGTGGGAAATGGAAGTTACACTTTGTTTCATTTCAGCATAAGGAAAAATTCACACGATCCAACAAAACTAAGTGTACACTGACAAGATTAGAACATTTTAAAAAAATAGAGCAATTTGACAGACTTGCCTTGCATTTAAAACAAAAAATACCTACTTATTGTTCAAGGTTTTTCATTTTTTTTTCTATGTCATTCAGAAGGATTTCCTGCACTTATCCGCCTGTTGCATTCTGACAATGGAGAAACACTAGAAGCTGCGACTTTGGCTCTTCAGTATTTGACCACCTCAAACTCTGCAAATTGCCTGTAAGTGAAATTGTTCTTAATGAACACAATTATCTTAATTTCTGAGATAAAGCATTATAATTACACATTTGATGACATGTAAGAGCCCTCTCCCTGTTCAGATATAATATTACAAGAGAAGTACAAGCAACAGTAGTGTATAGTGTCTGGATAAACATTAACTTAAAAGATACATCCAGTTCACAAGTTAAACCAGTGAGGTAGTTTTGAGCCATGGGGTGGGGGAAGTAGGGCTTTGTATGTCATCAAATTCTACAAACTAGTGTCATTACTTTTGTGTCCTTTAATTCTAGTATTTCACTCATTGCACTTTCTGGTTTTTCTTGTGATTAGATCATAGTGTGTTATACTAAAGACTTATTCATTATGCATCTTGGAGCCAGAATTGGAGGCCTATTCCAAAATATTTGGGTCTCAGAATATAATTGCATAACTTCGGGCTGAGAGTCTACCTTTTAAGTTTTTACAGTATATTTGTTTTGGGGTGTTAGATAATTAATTTAAAGATTAAATTCATATACCTTAAAACTGTTCTAATTAAACAAAAACCATCTCAGAACTATAAGTTCTGGAACAAAAATAAACCTGAAAGTAACTTTATTGTTTAGAAGTGAAGTAACTATTCTTATGCCAACTCAGTTTGTCATAAATATATATTTTTTATGATTAGAGAAGTACTGAGAAAAAATGATTTAAAATACATGGTTTAGCAGCAAGGTTAATGTTTTCATACATTTCATTTATAATATTACATTTAATTTATAAATTGAATTTAATTATATTTTATGCTTTTAATGGTAAACTAAAATTCAGCATATTTTTTAAAAATACCTTTTTAGAAAAAACAAATAACTCAAAAAAAATTTAAAAAAAATTAAATTTTATCATTTTAATTTATGAATGGTAAATTACAAAATTGACAATGGCATTTTAAATTTTTTAAAATATGTCTCTTTAAGAATAAAAAAGAATTAAGGAATATGTCTCTCAAAAAATGTTTGAAAAAATTAAGGAAATGTTTATTCAGGGAATATATTGAAAGAATGAATAACATCAGAAAATTAACAAATATGTCTCTGAAAGAATGGAATATGTTTTAAAGAATTGTTGAATATGTCTCTGAAAGAAACAGAAATTGAAAGAATTAAGGAATATGTCTCTGAAAGAATTAAGGAATATGTCTCTGAAAGAAAGTCTGTTTTAAGTGAGCCTTTCTTTTGAAACCCTACAAAACAGTATTAAAATTAATTTTCTTGATTATTGTAACATTTGTAAGGAGGAAGAGTAAGAAAAAAAACAGATTAATAAATTATTTCTTTAAATCAAATGAAATTATGCATTTATTCAGTTAGAATCTACTGCCTTATAGATTTTTTTCCTTAAATTTTGCAGTGTAAAAAGTTACCTTATGGTAAGAACTGTGGTAAAAATTCAACACAAGTACAGATTATGCAAAAAAAATTAAAGTTTATCATTAGTGTATTTTTTTTTTTTTTTAATAAAATTTCATAGAGGAGAATATTAAATTAAGTGAAAAATGTTAAACTTCTAATTGACAAGATCAAGATTCTTAAATTATATTTCTTAGGGAATTTTGCAATAAACAATAATATGGCAGTTGAAAAGAAAATAAGTTAATTCTCATTCTTACTTCAATTAAATAAGCCTAAGTTTTTCCAAATGTAAAATTTCTTTGAATTTCTTAAGCAGACTGCATCAGCAAATTATCACAAACCCAAACCAAAACTGAAGTGTATTGATCTCATTGAAACAAGAAACTTTTGAAATAAGACACCATTTGTTGCCCTTAGTTGCATCATGAATGTCTGTAGTATAGTGCACCATGAATAAGATCAACAAATATGAAGATACTCACCTGAGTCATGCACAGTGACAGTTCTCCTCAGAATTTCAGACAACTTGAAAATATTCATGAAATAATGAACACCATTTCTCTGAAATATATATTTTACAAGTTTTTCTTAAACAATTTTCATATAATGTACATTATTAGAAATTACAAAGATTTTATATATATATATATATATAAGATCTTTTAATACTTGTTGCAAGTTGCTTTTGGAAGGAAATAGACCATAGGAATCATTTTGTCTCATCTGCAACTGATGATACTGATTATTAGGCCTTAAAAGGGTACATTTATTTGTAAAATATATATCTTCTTAAACATACTATATATTTCTTACTAGTATTATATTTAGTGGGTACACATTTGTATAGACATTCCTGTTTAGTTTTTAAACTGTAACATTAGTATCTACTGGCCCTTGAGATTAAAAGTGTTATTAAAGAAAATGTGCCTCGATTCAGCTAACTTTGTTTTTTTTTCAGGTAAAAAAAAAAAAAAAAAAGTAATTTTTAAACAATAGATTATTTAATCCAACATTATTTCTTATTACAATACACCTGACTTGAAGTTGTTTCTCAGATTAAAAATTGAATACAGTTCTAATTCCTGTCAAGACACACACTTTCTTTAATAAGACTTTTGATGTCTAAATGAGCAGATATTATTTTCATATAAAAACCCCCCAAAAAAACAAAATCAAAATGGGCATGTCTACTGAAGTATGTGTAGCGACTAAAATATATTGATAGTAATAAGAAATAATGTCAGATTAAAAATTTCATTTAAAGTGTGTGCACACATATTTACCCAAATATGAATTTACTGACTGAAATACATACTAGTCTATTCACAACTTTTTGACACAAAACTTGTATTGTTATGGAAGCAAACCGTAGTTGATCTGTTTATTATCCAGAAGATTTGCTGATCCATTGTCTAGACTTCAAGTGTACAAGATTGTTGGAGAAATGTGTAAATTGGATCAGGAGGGATTTTAGTGTAGTATGATTTTCTTTGTCCAGCCAGGAAAAATTGGCAAGTATCTGTTGTGTATAAATATTAAATAACCTATCTTGCATAAGTACCAACAATGGTATACAGGAAAAATTGGCAAGTATCTGTTGTGTATAAATATTAAATAACCTATCTTGCATAAGTACCAATAATGGTATACAGGAAAAATTGGCAAGTATCTGTTGTGTATAAATATTAAATAACCTATCTTGCATAAGTACCATTAATGAACAGGAAAAAGTATGTTTGTATAAATATTTTATCTTGTACCATTAATGGTATACAGGAAAAATTTTATCTGTATAAAATTAAAAACCAATCCATAGTACCATTAATGGTATACAGGAAAATTAGCAAGTATCTGTTGTGTATAAATATTAAATAACCTATCTTGCATTTGATGCATGGCTCATGTTGCTGGGTCATTTTTCCAATTTATCTGAAAGAAAAACAATCCATAGCTTTCTTTGATGATTGTCAATCTACAGACTTCTCCAGGTATCCTAACTTTATAATAATCACGGCAACAAGGAGAATAAGTTTAATCATCCAAATAATTGACAGATTTCTATCTGAATTTCTGGGATGAGGATTTACCATTATTAATAACAACAAAGATGAGGATATTAGTTTGACTGTAAATAACTGAGCAGTTAATCTGTCTGTCCATAATTGGTAGCTTTTTAACACAGTGTGTTATTTCTGACTTCTTTTTCAGGGAAGTGTTGAAGCTACATGGAATTGCTCCTCTCATTCATGTACTGAATGACACTAATGATGGAGCTGTTTCGAATGCTGCAGCTGTGCTTACTAATTTGGCACAAAATGAGGTTATACGAAAAGAAGTCTGGCAGAAAGGTGTCATCAAAGCTCTGGTTAAAGCACTCAAATCTACGTAAGAGCATTTTTTATTATTGATTATTTTTTTATGGTGACACTTTTAATATTTGTCAAATGATGAAGCACTTGCTTCTCTTCATTGAGGTTTGGTTGAAAGATGACTGAAATAGAGACAAATATCAATATACACCAAAATGTAAGGCCTGTTTATTTGTCTCTTATTTTAATAGTGGAGTATAAAATTCAAGATAAATAGCTGATTATATATTTTAAATCTCAATCATTTTAGATAATTTAACAGAGACCAAGGTGCATTAGAATTTAGAAGCCAAAGAATAATTAGTAGATTTTTATGCAATTGAATTGCACAGAAAGTTTCTAAAAGAATGTTCAATGAATTCATAGGTCAGTCAGTTATGTGCCATGCATGATACACGCTTAGGTGATCATGTTAGCTTTTGATACATGACTGATGAGGCAGATTTTTTTCTCGCAGTAGGTTGCCATTTCTTTCTGTGGTAGACCAGTTACCATCCGAGTCTATAGAACCTGGTTAGTCCTGCTATTTACCCATATTTCCCAAGGGTATTAGCACGTAAGTGAATGTAATGGATTCGACTGGAAAAAACATACTATACTTAGTGTGTTGTTTGGGAATGTATAATATTTTTTAAAAAAACCCAAAAATGAATGTTTGCTGAATTTTACTGATTGATTTTGTTTTATTTATGGCTTATCAAACTTTTGCATGTTATTTAAAAGAAGAAAATATTTTTAGATTGTAAGAATTTTTACTGATACAAGTCCTGCTAATTAAGCCATAGCTAGGGAGGGAAGGTTCTTGACTTTCGCAAGGGTATTTGCATGCAAGTGAATATAACGAACCCAACTGGAATTGGAACTTGGCTTCCAGTTTTCCATTTCTGAGCCATTTATCCATTACACCACATGCACATCCAAGCTTGCAGTACCTGGTATTCCCAAGTGGTCACCCATCTAGGTACTGACAAGGCTCAACATTGTTTAACTTCTCTTCATTGAGAAGCGGATTCATACCTTTCCCAAGGGTATTAGCAAGTAATCATACAAGAACCTGTTTTTCAATGTGATATGGAATAAGGCAGGATCCTATGTCTGGCAAATACAAGATGGTATCTGTTGAGAATATAGCAGAAACTACCAAAAGGGAAGCAGAATATATAGTAAGAATTTAATTTGTAAGGATTTTACATAAATGCTAAATTTAGATCAGTATCTGTCTATAATTCTGAGATGAGGTATTATGTACACTATTTACATTATTCAGACTATTGTCCTCATCTTTGTTGCCATATTTATCACGTTTCAGCTGTTGTATGCTCCAGCCTTCTTTGGATCTAACTAACACCTTTATCCACTGTGCCTTGAGAACATCTGTATGGGAATTTCTGGGTATTATAAACCTTATAAACTCTTCAGCAATCATTTTTTAACCAGTGCTCATATTACAATTTTTGCTGTTATCATTGAATGTTTTTACCAGAGCTCATATTGTAATTTTCATTGTTATTATCACTTTTCTCTGGCACTCCTTATTACCCTCTGTGGGATCAGGTTGAAATCATAGACAAAGAACATCATTAGAAAATTCGTAAACTTAAGGAATCAGCACACATGCTAGGCCACAAAAATCTCCTGAGCTGACCAAACATAGAAATGAATGCAATATGAGAACCAGTAATTAGGAGTGCCAGAGAAAAGTGATAATGACAATGAAAATTGCAATATGAGCACTGGTAAAAAATGGTTGCTGAAGACATTAGGTTTATAATACCCAGAAATTCACACACAGCAGTGATAGGACCCAAAGAGTGTGAGTTCAATACCTGGTTAATCCAGTGGAGAACTTGGAGAGGGGAATTAACAGGAGATAACTGACATCCATTAAACATGGCATGTGGAACTAGAACAATCTACCCAAGCGAGTGAAATAAAGGGTTCAGTTCAACATTCCAACCACCTGAAGAAGGCTGGAGCATACAATGGCCAAAACGTTGTGATAAATATAGCAACAAAGATGAGGACAATAGTCCGAATAATGTAAATAAGGTTTAGATCATACAACCTAAATCAACCAGTTCTTTTATCAGTCAAATATTCAAGAGGCAGTAAATTTCTGTAGCCTGCTCACCTATTTGCCTTGGAAAAGGATATCCCCACTCAACAGAATATTGTCTCAGCTGCTGGGACATACAAATTTAGGTGATGTTGGTAAAGGAAATTTCACCAGAAACCCAACAATCTAGGGAACAAGAACTTGATAATATTGGAATCCCTTTCTTAATTTTCACCTAGGAAAAAGTACTGAGGTATCCATTTATAGGAATCAAATCTTGAAAAATAAAAGATATATTTGTATAAATTTCTTTTGCTTATTTGGACCAGCATGAACAAACCAAAGTGATTTCTGGTTGGTCATGGCTGATTCACTCAGTACTTTGGGAATATCTGCTGTGAGGCTTGCTACAGTTAATATTTTTTTGGATCCAAAAAAAATATAACTCAGAATCAATACATGAATTATGATGTTATGGTATGCAAGGTGGTGACAAAGGATGTCTTATCTTCACTCGATACCTATGTTGATTTTATTCCTAACTAAAAGAAAAACAAGATGACATTAAATAGATGTTTCAAGCATGAATGTGCATTAAATATTACAGTAATTCAGTATGTTATTAAATTTCTATAAAATAAAAATGTTTTTCATATATTTTTTAAAATGTTTTAAATGTTATTCTTACCGTAGTTAACTTGAAATTTCTGAAAAAAAAAATCCACAAAATTATACACGAGAAAGAGTTAAAATAGCAACTTTAACAAGAATTTCTATTTATCACATTCATGTATTTTATTTGCTCTTTACAAGTTATTAAATACTGATTTGAGAAAAACTTACTAATCCAAATATAAATGTTTTTACAGTTACTTTCAGTTAATTGTCCTGTGTTAATGTAATACAGAAATCCATATTTAAATTTATTGTAGATACTTTTTTTTTAGCTGAGTTTTTGTTCATTGCAGGACAAATGAAACCATACAGAGTAATATTGCATTAGCTCTGGCAAATTATGTTTGTAATCCCTCATCACGAGAAATGGTTTGTATGAAATATTTTTGGAAATAATTAATTTATATTGTAATTTTAAGTTTTCTCAAAAAAATAAAAAAGTAGTTAAGATGAATTTAATTGGGAGAGATGTGTGTGTGTGTGTGTGTGTGTGTGTGTCTATTTAAAAAAAATTAAACAACTAAATCACTTTACATAAAAGTTTACAAAAAAGAAAGCTCCTGTATTTTAAGATGAATTTACAAAAATAGAGAAATCCATTTTGGTTGTTAAAGAAAATTTGAATCCCTACAAAATGAAAAAGGAACACTTCTAAAAAATAGATTTACTGCTAATATTCATGACTTGATTAAAGCCAATTGATGCTTTCAGTACAGCCCAACAAAAGATACTACCACTCCTCACCTGATGATAAACAAGGCTACAGTTACTGATTTTAATTTCATAACACATATTCATTTATAAAATATCTACGTTTTTATGTTGGAAATAGAAACTGAGTTCCTGAATTTCTTATTCATTGTTAGTAATGGTAATATTAGGTATTCACTGACCAAGCAGCTAGTGCTATTTTGTTGAAATTTATAAAATTTTACAGGGAAATAGGTTTCTCAAATCCAGTAACTCCTATTGCTCTTGTATTGATGGGAGACTTTCTTCCTAACATTTTCTTTTAAAGTAATGTAGAACATTAACATCTTGATTGTCATTATTCTCATTTAGCTTCACATACTATCCATTTTAATTGTTGCTGTTGTTAAAATGTCCTCAAGTGATCTGGTTTCTATTATTTGGTACAGTTGTTGTGATTCCATTATGCCTCCACTATTTTTTTTTTGTTTGTTTCATTTTGTCAATCTATTGTTCACTGTCCCAACACAACCAAAAATGTAGGATACTTGGTGTTTTCAATCTTCATAAACATTATGTCGAGCTGGGAGTTGACCAGATTTTATGAGGATTTTCCTCAGTAGTCATTGTGATTCTGCAGAGTTCTCACATGTGGTAGTAACTTCTTAAAAGTACATATATTGTAAAGAATTATTAAAACTTTCTATGTAGTCTGGTTGATGGTCTTTCAGCAGGAAAATTAGTAAAAACCAGACTCTCTCTCTCTCTCATCTTTTTGAAGTGATTTATTGCATGTTTTTTGATAAGATATTTGTGACCTTTCTTTGTGTAAAATCAGATGGCACTTTGTGGAATGCATTCATTCCAAAGCCCCCTGTACTTAGTAAGATATTTTCAATCTTTGCAAATGTTTATGTTTTAAATAAACATAGCAAGAATATTTTAGAAGAGCACACTGTCCTCGGTAATTTGGGGAAAAGCTTTCTAGAGGTTTCTAATTATTGTTTTAATCTGTTCTTTCTTTTTTCCCAGTATTTTTCATTTTATTCTTAATCATTTTTGTTTTAAATTATTATTAGGCATTCTAATGCATTAAAACCTTGAACCAGTTACTACCCTGTTATACTGTAATGCCAGTCTAAGAAGGATGGTCAATTCTAAGACCTACAGACTTCATTCACTCAAAACCACCGATAACCATAGTGCCCGCTTTTCTTTTGATGAAATATATATATATGAAGTATATGTTTATTTGCTTAATGCAAACCTGCTTATGTTGTGGAAAAGAACAATATAAGAAGCTATGTTATCATATAATTCTATCTTTGCAGTTGATGGTTTGTAAGTTCATGATTTAATGATTATTTCTGTTGAAAACAAATTCTATAAAACTGATGCACCAAAGTTTCAGGTGAAATTTCTCCAATTCCAGTATTCACATGCTCAAAAATATACAGATATCTTTTTCTTTCAATGTTTGAAATTTTAAAATTTTCAATCTCTACAAATTGATTGAAGTGCTTTACAAAAATGAAAATATTAGGAGACAAGTTTGATGACGTAAAGACTGTTTTTAAGTTATTTTTAACTAACAATGTTTAATCACATAATTCTTGTGACTTCTCAAGCAGTTAAATAATAAATGTAGTTGAAGAAAAGATAAAGAAATTGTCTAAAGAAAATAGCTAGCATTAATTTTTTTTTTGTCTTGTACAGCTGCGGCAGGTGGATGGCATAGAACCTTTGGTTCAACTCTTAAAATCAGGAACAAGTGAGGTTGTTCGAAATGCATCATGGGCCATATTTGTGTGTGCAGCTGATGAGGCCACAGCTGAGAAAATTTGTATTTATGGGTTAGTCACATTATCAACCATTCTGTTTAACATGGATCAAAATAATTGGAAAATCTTCAACAGTTTTGTATTATTGTCAAAAAAATGAAATATGTGCTTGAGTGCCAACTGTCTTAACTAATTCACTGGCAAAGTCATGTGGCTTTATAAAATTTTGACTCATAGCCTGAAGAATCTGATGGATTATTCATTTACCTATTTCATAAGTAGAGTCTGTCTTTCTGGCAGATCCCATAATTACAGATATGCAAATTTGAATAATTTTGTGTACACCTGCATTGATAATATCAATAATCAATTAGCTTACTAATAATTAAGCTAACTAAGAATTTAAATAAACATCTATAGCTAATTATCCATATAACCTACTTTTATCTGAGAATCGGCCTTGTCGCTATTTTAAAGATGATTTTGACACTTCTTCACATCTTTATAATTTTGAATGCAATATCTTGATCAGTATTTTTTTGTTAGCAGTTTTCACTTTTTTGGCAAAATTTTAAATTGCCTCACATATACAAGGTCAGCCTGAAGAAGTGTTGCTTAACTTCAGGCTGACCTTCTTCTGAACTGAAATGATAGGTCTATCTGCTCAATATCAACGTTTTTATTGGGTGAAGTGAAAAATCTGTCATGCCACATATCCCACAATCTTATCTCTGCCAATATTGCACCTAGCAAAAAATACAAGCAACATATGGCATTTCCATTTTCAGTAAAGTAGGTTGCTATTCAGTTTTTGTCTTCAAAAAGAAAGTTGAAGTATGCAATGATAAAGATCCTTGTCTAAATAATCTATAGAATAATTTATGAAATCCATAATTATTAAATTGACCACCTGGAATACAATTATAGATGCCACGCTTACCTGGTAAAATATCTGATTTGAGAGCTATGATGATATTGACTACACTATTAACAAAGTAGAGGGTTAACTTAAACACAACTGTTTGTAATAATTGGCCAACTGAACTGAGATATAAGTTTTAAAGGAATATACAAATGCTAACAAATTACATGACTGATTAATATATATGTATAAAAACTCAGAATGTAAAAATATAGAAACGAATTCTTAATAGTGTATCATTTTTAAAAATTATTTTGTTTTTGTAGAGGCTTAAAAATTCTCCAAGAGATTCACTCTTCTTTGACACGACGCAATCAATTTACTGATGCAGCCTTGGAGCGACTCCTTGACAACAACTTGTCAGCAAAATTCTCTCTCACTGGATATCTTGGTAAAGTGTTCAATATTCATACACCACTCAAATATAGGCTTCATTTCTGTATTTGTTTTATTAATTGCAATGCAAACATTACATGATTTCAAAAGAATATAAATTATCAAGTCTTTAACATGAAGACTTAAAAAAAATTAAATCTTTCCAGATATAATATTTTATGTATTCATTATGACAATTATTTAAAAAGTATCAAAATAAATTGTTGTTCAGTTATTGATACATGAATTAAAATAAGTACTTATAAAATTCAGGTTTGAGTTAAATAATTAAGTAATTACTCTCTTGCTGCCTGTCCTTAGAAAACCAGAGTTAAGATAAAATCAAAATAATTTGATATGAATTAAAACTTTGTCCTTTACATTTTTCTCATGAAAATTAATAAATTTGTGTTGTAACATTTTGTTGGGAACTGTTACCAAGGTTTTCCTGACATTTCTGATTAACTTTATCCATTATATGCTGAGGATGAAGCCTTAGAACAAGTTCAATATTAAACAAAACAAATTTTACTCATTAGCTGTATTGATGCTTGAGAGAAAAAAAAAATCATCCATTTTTGAGTTATTTTCCTTTGTATAAATGATAAAATGAAACTGAATGCCAAGTCTCCAAAACATAGGCTAATCATAAATGCAGCTCATATATAGAGTTTTATGATGTGAAAGAATCATTAACTTTTGAGAAGAAACATTAAAAAGTTAGCTATTTTGCAACTGGAATTCACTAGACTAAACTTATGCTTTTGGAAATAAAGGATAACGAGATTAAATTTGTTTTCTTTTGTCAGCTGTTTTCAGGCCCTGTGTAAAAATGTCATCATGGCTTTGGGGAAAAAAAAAAACCTTAGTTGACATTTGCATGATTAAGCTCAAGTTCTCTTAATATGAATGAAACAAAGTGTGGACCAGATGTTAAGACAAAGGAAGAAGACATGTCAGCTTACATTTTTTTTTAACTAGTCAATGTCTTTATGTGACTATTTCAACATCATTGGAGCAATGTTTGTCTTTGAGCTTCTCCCTTGAAAATTCAAAATAAAAGATTGAGATTCTTGTAAGTGGGTGTAGATTAATCAATGTTGTGTGAGTTGTAAAAGTAAATTCTTATTGTGTGTGATAATGTTCCTGTTCATTTGCAACTGACACTATATTTGATGGAGTAATGGTTTCACTGTCTGGTTCATGTTACACCTTTCTCCCTACTTGTCAATGCTCAATTTTTCCAAGTCTAAAGCAAAGGCTAAAATGCTGCTATGTTGCAAGAAAACCTGAACAGCCAGATACTAATGAAGCCATTAAGAGCTGTCAACTTGGAACTAAAAGACTTGATTTGCATGGAAAAGGTATTTGAGTAATCTGTAACCACTAAGACTGGATGTGAAAATTATAGGACCTACCAGGATTTATTATCACACTTGACCTATAAAATGTATGGATTCAGAATGCATGATTGTGATCTATATATTGGGATGTCCAAAATCAAGTAGGTACTGAAATGTATCTATCTAGATTGTGTAGTAACAGACCACAGAAATATAAATCATATAAGCACTTATTTTCAAAAACTAAGCAAAGTATTAAGACAGAGGAAAACAGTACTGAACTGCTATGTAACCTCTAATCTCCTATATGGTAGTGAATAATGGGCAATTTCTTCTCAGTTGAAGAAGCAACAGATATAATTGAGGAACGTCAACAAAATATCTAGATATCATACCAATGATCTGACCCCATTTTTAATATAGACAAAATTACAAGAATTTGAATTTCATGTGTCAGACTAATTCAGTCATTTAATTCAGCTATAATTTACATTTAATAATAGTTTGTAGCAGCTGGTGTTGTAGAGATAAATGATTTGTGGGTCAGAAGTGTATTATTGAATTGCTTGTTAACACTCAATGGCCATAAGAGTGAGTAACCTACCTTACAAATTTGTGTGAGGAGATGACAGAACAGAGGTAAAGAGGAATGGTAAGGAGTCTAAAATTACTGAGTAACAAAAGATAGGACATTATGGAAAGACATGAATTCCCACATACTGAAAGGACCTGGCACATAAAAGATACACCATTCTGATGTAGATGGTATATTCATCTCCAGTAAAATGTTTGAATGTAAAAACGTGTTATTGTATTTAATGACAATGAGATTTAGTTCTTTCTGATTGATTTCTTTATTTATTGTAAATTAACTTGTAATCATTCTTTTTTCTAATTTGAATCTACATTGAGTTTTTTCAAAATTGATAAGGTGCAGACTTAGACTATTAGCTGATGCCTTAATGTTCAGGATTCTGCCAGGCATTCCATCATTCAAAAGTGGAATATGATGATTGAGAAGGTAGGAGAATATGTTGAGGAATACATTTGGAATTCTGAAACTTGTGTGTTCATTTTTTTTGTATCCTCCTGTATTAAAATATATATAAAATATATATATATATATAGATAGATAGATATAGATAGATAGATTTGTGATGGACTGAAGCTTTTTTTTTTCTACATGTACAGCTATTCAAAAAACAACAAAACCAGTGCTTGTATTGAATAAACTGAAACCATTATTTGATATGCTTTCTCCATGAAAGATTTATAATTATTTTGTAAATCATTTCAATTTTAAACCTACCTCATCTTTAGCTGACATGACTTATATTCATAAGTAAACATAAAGAGTTTACATTATTGTCATCATTATATTAACTTAATTTTATGTTTGGTATCATCATCGTATATACTGTGTGTGTGGTGGACTAGTGTATGAGTTGAGAAATAAACACGTCTCTCCTGTAATGCCCCCAACCAAAATGGCAGATTCAGAATATGAGTCCATGTAAAAAAAAAAAAATGTAGAGAAACAACCAGGACCAATATGTGTACAAACAAATGATAATGTATTAACAATAAAATGTTACATAAACAATAGAATATTGTTGTGTGTGTTAATGAACATGAATGAAGAAGACATTTAAACTAGTCAATTGTTTGCATATATGTAGTTTGGTGTAGTGAAAGGCGTGTGTGTGTGTGTGCATTGTTCATGCATTTCCCAAAAAGGGAACATGTTCTTCCGTAAGAGACTTATATGTTGACATGTAAGCAGAAAAAGTGAGATAAAGAGGGCGAGAAAAGATGTGGCCTGTCTTAAAAATTAATGTTTGAAAAAAAAAAAAAAAATTCAAACTTTAACTGGTCAGAAATATGAATTTTTTTTTTTTTTTAAAAATAATAAAGCAAACTTTTGTTTAGTAGTAACACACACACACACACACACAGTTGCTTTGCTTATTTCATAATAGTAATAAAAAAAAAAAAGGTTTCAAATGTTTCTCCTTAAAGTATTTGAAAATATTTCAATGATGGTCAATGTTCAGCAAAATAATTTCTATTTTTTCAGGTCCAACCAACATAATTCAAGATGGTTTTTTTGATGCTGGTCCTCTAAAACCTAATTCTGAATTTAAATCCTTGGAATACTTTTGCTCACAGAAACTGAAAGACCGAAAACCTATCATCATGGTTAATGCCAAGCTTTCGTAAGTTGTTTTGGAAGTGCATTAATTTGCTAACAATACCGGATTAAATATTAGGGAGTTTGCATACAGAATTGGTTTATTTAATTTATAAATATCAACCAAATTGATTTAATTTTTTCAAGTTCATAGTTGAGAAGAAAGCAAGAAGCCAAAAGAGTCCAACAGACAAGAATTGTGGCCATTCAAGATGGCTTTCATTACATGATTTGAAAAATACAAAGGAGTATGTCAGGGGTGTCTTTTCACATCAGATTTATTTAACCCATAAAGTGAGATGATTATAAGAGGACTAGACGACATATCAGGATTTATGATTGGTGGATGAAATCTTAAGACATCTTATGCAAATGACATCTTTAACAGCAGATTCAAAAGGAAAATTGAAAGAACTATTAGATAAGGTAATTTATGAAAACAAGAAGGAAAGAGTAATCATTAATTGTAAGAAAACAAAATGCATGGTTAATAGCAAAAGGGACAACCAGTTGTGAGTTATGTATTGAGGATGTAAAAAGCATTGAGGGATGAGAAGCTTAGTTGTGGATAGAAAAAAAAATGTTGGTTTGTCTTTTTGTGCATAAGTGAAACCTGGAATATGTTTTTTTTTTCTCTTGTAAAGACTTTCAGATATACATGGGGGAAAAAAAAGATTGCAAAATTTAACACACAGCAGACTGAAGGTAATTGAAACAGGAAAACAGTGTGTAAGCTATTTGATGAGTTCTAGCAAATAGATAACTGAACAAGTGCCACAGAGACAATGAGGAGTCATAAAGGAGCAAGAATTACTTATAGCAATCAAAGATGGGAAACGGTGGAAGACCATGACAGATATTTGTCTGTTTTCAGAATATTTCTATTAGAAATCAGAGCAAAATTTAGTTTTAATTATTACTTGAAATTCTTTTATTTTGGATCTTATTAGAGTTTTGGCTTTCAAATGTATGGAAGACTGTAATGGTTCTTTTGCTAGTAAATATTAACTTGGTGCTCCTCACTAACTGAATTGTTGTCTTTCTATTTTATTCTGAATCATATACTGATTACTAAAATGACCTAAATAAAATTTATTCATTTATTTACTCATGAAATTGTAGTCTACAAACCTGTACTATAAAAGAAATTGACTAAGTTTGTGTTTGGGTGCAAGAGATTAGAAAACATACACAAATGCTTCAGAAATTAATGAAAGTGCTATTGACTGAAAATGTTCTTTGGTGTTCTTGATATTCAGCAACACCAATCATAAAATAATTGGTAGTATTATTATGTTCCCAATTACTTAAAAAAAATATATGATGAAATCTGAACTATTATATAGTCCACTATTTAAAAGAAAAAAAGAAACTGCTGACAAAACTTAATGTTCTTGTATTAACCAGCTATCTGTTATGGTTAATAATACATTTTACTGACATAATTTTACTTAAACGATCTTTTGTTTGTCCTATATATATATGTAAATCAATCAATCAATCAATCAATTTTTAAGCATCTATTTACTTCAGCCTATTCATATTGATATATGTAAGGAGTGTGATAATCATTATCACTTTTGTTCATATACACAGACATGTCAAAAGTTATGGGTTGTAGTATTCAAATGGTAGATAAGTGTCACTATAGCATGGTCAGAATTAGTTGTACTCAGATATCTAATGACTCTGTGAACATTGACTAGACGGCTCATGATAAGGTGGCATGAATTATTCAAGAATTGTCAGTGGATCAAATCAAATCTACATTAAGTGCAGGTGGTACTAGATGCATATCCAGAAAGTAAGGACAGCATTTTTTTTAGATTTCATGGGATATGGGAGCAGAAGAGCTACAGCACTTCATCTGGGATTATGGCATTTTGCTAAATAGGTCCCAAAGTACTGGAAATGTATATTGTATCCAATGAGTCATGCTTCAGTTTTAGGTTGATGATAGTTGGGGCTATGGACCCAGTTTTCAACAAGGCACTGTGCAGACTGGCTTGTGCTATAAAAATGATGTGGGGGAGGGGAGTCCACGTAGCATGGATTGGGTCTGCTGATCCAACATATTAATGACTTACTTTTTAACTTACTGTACTTCACTTAGCTGAAGTAGTCATATATAGTAGTAGTGATAATATACATGATAATAATTTCATGGCTTTTGACACATTAGGGTAACTTACTACTTATGAAAAACATTTTTTTTAGGAAGGTAATGTTTTTAGAATTTTATAATTGTTTTTTTTTTTTTTATTAGATTTTAGAATTAATTTTGCCAAAATCTTCATTCTGTAGAAATTGGTTTAGCTGTGTTAAAGTATTGCTAGTATATTTAAACTAAATTATTCGAGTCTGAGCTTACAGTGATTTGTTCTCTGCGTTGTGGAATTAATCTGTGGCAAACATTTCCTTTGCTTTCAGAATGCTTACAAGATCCCTTACAAAAAAAAAAAAAAATAAATAATCTTAAAATCTTTCTATTGAAGGACACCACCAAAGATAACTGAAGAATATGAACCCAAACAAGAAGATTCAAGAGCAAGTTCAAGAAATGCCAAAACCAAAATGTAAGTAAGCATATTTTGTATGTAAAGGTTTATTTTTGGAGTGTCAAAGTTGTCATTTTTTTTTTTTTTTACCTTGGCTCTTCTAAGATCACTGGTGGTCTTGGCTCTTCCCACTGACTTTGGTTTATGTCTTCCATGTTGATGTTTTCTGACTAATTACTATCCCAGTGAACCTCTTTTCAACACCTAGAGATGCTATGAAACATATCCAACTTATTTTTCTTTATTTTGCAAAACTTTAAAAACTGATGTGGATTTGCTCACAAGTTTTCAAAGAAATGAATTTGTTTCTATTTTCCGTTCTAGTTGATTTTTTTTAATTACAATTAATTTTTAAATCAGTTTGAATCCTAAACCATAAAAGCAGCATTTCCTGTTATTCCAGTTTCTGCAAACCTCATAAATATGTTAATGAGAGGAAAGTGATCACAGATGAAAATTTGAGAGAGAGAAGAAAAATAAATGGAGTTTTAGTGGGTAACACTCCTGACATGTATTGACTGTATCTGGTTCAATTATGGAACATTTCCAGATACGTTAGGTAATATAGATAGTTTTTGCTGTATTCATTATGAAAAAAATTAATTTACTGGACAATATTAAAACAAATAATAAATGCAATTTTAAAAATACAACCTTGTTTTTAATTAAAAGTGAACATTTTTGAGTTTATTCAAATGTGTTAAGAAAAGAAGACTGCTACCACTGCTTAATGATTCAAAAGCATTAATTAGTTAATTAGTTTTTGCTGGAAATCAGATGATAACTTCTCAAACTGTAAAAAGACTAAGATATTTTTTGCTTTGTAAAAATCCACTTTTGTTCTCAGACTCATGAAATATTAATCAATTAGACTTTTCTTGTTAATTCAATATTGATTTCTTATTTGTTTTCCACACTTCTATTTTTGAATACTAATGTCCTGAATTATTGATCTTTGTATTTTGGGAATTTATCTGTGTCTTTTAAAGAAAACCATTATATAGATATGAAGTATGACATTATTTAACAGAGTTCACATGATTTCAACATATGTTTTACATCTTTTGTAGAAACCGTGGTCGACAAAAGGATCGTCCTGAAAAAGCTCGAGGAGGTGAAGAAGAAGAGATCCAGAATCAGACTCACTCAGAACAAATGGATGGTGAAGAAGGGGAAAATGAAAAAGAAGAGAAGCCTTTCTTGCCACCTGACGATTCAAATCTATTTGAATACATCAAGGAGGTCCAGTTATGTATCCATTGTTCCTTATCTGTCAGAGATCAAGTTTCAGCTTTAGCATCGTGAGTAGATATAGATTGTTATTTATCATGTTAATGAAGTAACCGCTGTGACTGAGACAAAATATTGAAAGATGATTGGGTTATAAATAGTTACAAGGGAATTAACTCTGTATTAATACATCACATTTCAAGTTATGAGAATTATAATGTTCATTATTGACAAATAAAATACATTTATATAGTCTGTCATTAAAATATGATATATAAATAATCAAAGGGATAGACTACCCTAATTTCTGGCCATTATTAATACAGATAAAATGTATTGTTGGCCTTTTTTTTTATATATATATAAACATTGTATTACTGTTATTTTTATACTTTCATAGTGTTTTTTTGCTTGGGGGGGTCACTATTTGCTCAGAGCTGGGACCCTAACAGATGATACCACCCAGGGCAAGGTGGATCAACAGCAATTAAGAAGTGGTTCCATGCTTTCCAAAACTGTCAGAGGCCTTGCTGTCAGATGTAGTTTATCATCATACCCAGGAATGATTAAATTTATAATATGACCAAACCAGCATTGCATATGCATCACAAAAATGGCTACTCACAACTAGAAAAAGAATTATTATTCATTGTGTTTGGATGCAGATGCCTCGATGATTATATCTACAGTACTAGTGAAAACCGATCTCAAGCTTCTGGTATCAAATTTTCAAAAGAAAATATGTCCACTCACTCAAGTACAGAAAATGATTCTGCACTTCCAAAGATATGTTCTAAAGGTCACATACAAATCTGGAAAAGATCTACTCATGGTAGACATCCTTTTAAGATTATACTTAAAAGAGTATGGAAACCCACTCTAGGATGAATTGCTAAATGTAAAAGGTCATCAGTTCACTACGAATGATTCCAGAAAAACTAAAACTGTTCCAGGCAGCAACATGTCAAAGTACTTGTCTATTGACATTACATTGTATTAAATGGCTGGCTAGACACAAGAAAAGATTGTCCTCTGTGAAACTATACTGGGAATTCAGGGATGAACTTGCATATGATGATCAGTTACTTTTTAAAAGTAACCAAGTGATTGTTTCTGAATTACTCAGAAGTGAAATAGTGAACAAAATCCATGAATCTCATCAAGTAGTGGTGAAGAGCAAACAGAGAGTCAAAGATATACTGTTTTGGTCTGGCATGAATGTGCAAATACAAGAGGCAGTTGAAAAATATGCAACATATACCAAATTCAGAAGAGGCAACCAAAAAGAACCTTTAATGTTTCATGAGATTCCTAATTACCACTGGTCAGAAGATAGGTGTTGATCTATTCTTCCTTAGAGAAATCATCATTGACTATTATTCAAAGATTACAGAATTGATGCAATTGAGAGATTGAACCAGTTGTATTATTATAAATACGCTTACAACCATTTTTTCTACACATGTAATCCTGTTATCCATGTTATGTATCGTTTTAATGTAGTGTTACGCTGGACTACTGTGAGTAAAAATTAAGACAAAGTGTATTGTGTATTTATCTGTAGTAATTCATGGTGGAATTGACTGCCTGCTGTATCTGCCATTTATTGAAATGTGGTTGGTCTCTCTAAATAGTTACAAGGGAATTAATTCTCTCTGTATTTATCAATACATCACAAAGATTTATGGGCTGATATTTTTTTAATTTTTATATCCAGGTAAGATGAGAACAAATGGAGTATAATTCCACTATACATAACATTTAATTTAAAAGAGAGCTCAATACTATTTATATTAGGATATAAAAGCATGTTAAAAATCACTGCACAGTTACAATTAGATAGTTGTGTAACAATTTTTAACATGTTTTTATATATATATATATATATATATATATATATATATGACATATTATGCTAAGCATATGAGCCGCCTCTTAGACCATCCAAGGAAGACTATCCTCAAGGCATCAATTTTCTTGTATAAATTAACTATCATATTATAATTATGCTAGTTAGCATGTACATTGCATCCTGCCATTACTTCAGATAAATAATGAACAATTCTTGTTTGATTGCAAGGATGGCCTGAAGAAAAGATATAGTAAAAGGTGCAGGTTAGTTTTAGGGAAAGACATCTGATTTAATGACTGCTTCAGTTAAATGGAAAGCCTTGTCAATTTTGAATTTTTCATTTGTATTCTCTTACTTCTTTGAATAATGACCTACATTCATATTTTACTATTGATATTGTAATATTTTGTCAAAGTCAAATATTTAAGGAAGCAATGAGGAAATTACCATGGGTATTTTATCATTGTGGAACTTGCAAATAACATATTCAATCATTAACGTAATTTTAAGATTTATCAGAAAATTCAAAAAGAAAAAAAACTGGATTATCTACAAGTGGATCAGTATTTTTACCATGAATCAGTGTTGTCAGATTAAGTTACTTTTGGAATTTTTGTGTTAGTAAAGCTTGTACTGGGAGAGAGATAGATGCCTCATTTGCTTACATGTAGCCCACAACTAGCCTCTGCTTAAGATGAAAGTGTCATTTCTACATCAGATGTTTGAATCAGGCCAAGTTAGGTTAGTTAATGTCAAATCGGTCTCTTATATTTATTTTTCTTTTAATTTTATTACCCGCAGACTTTACATTACTATTTACTTGATAGGTGGTAGTGGTGTGAGATTATGGTCAATGTATTCTAGGCCCTACCAACAGGGCAGGTTTCATTTATTCATTTTATATAACTTTGATTAAGTACAACAAATGCTATAGAAAAAAAATGGTAGCCTATTATTATTATTATTATTATTAAGGCTTCTTTTTACTTGTTCACACAATAAAAGTCATATGTAAATTGTGGTATCTGCTTATTTCCTATATAGACTTTTAGTCTTTGCAGTGTTGCTACATGTAATTTTACTTATTATAAAACGCAGATTGTGTGTGTGTCTGTACGTTTATATATGGGATCGTATTTCCTACATTTTTCAACCGAATGCAACAAAACTTCACAGGACTACGTAAAATTACCTGGCAGTGGTTCTGACAGCACCAAAAATTGGAAAATATTGTTTTTGAACGAAATCAATGAAATATATAAAGCACAGTTAAGGGTATCGCACCCGGCTGGAAGTTACTGCTGGCTACTTGAACGTCCAAATGCCGTTAACTTCCGGTGACTACATGAATTTAAGTGTACTACTAGATTGGCATCTAGGTCCCAACTTTTTACTGTTGAGATAGTTAAATGTAACCGCCCTTCTAACAGTTTTTCTCGCACTTCTCCATATTGGAAATCCATTCCACTCACTTGCTTGCTTCCCTGATAACTACAATCATCAAAAACCTAAATGCAACATCAGTCACCATGTTTTGTTGATACCTGTTCTTTTTTCCTTTCTTCAATCCCCCCTACACCCACTCTTTTCTCTCATTTTCATTCTCCATAACCCCCTGTGTAATAATGGCACTTCTGACTTGCTTGGGGTGAAATGCTTACCCCCCCACCCAAAAAAAACATTGAATATAAAATAATTAGGGTACTGAAAATAGCATCTACCACAATCAAAGGTAAAGCTCTCCCTACCAACAGCTAAAATAATAAAGTGGTCATTACAAATATATGTATGTATATAAATAAAAGGCAGGATATGTGTGTGTGTGTGTGTGTGTGTGTGTGTGTAAAGAATGCACGGCTGCTATTTTCGACGGATTTGCACCAAAATTTACATGCACATGCAGGAAGGCCAAGACTGACTTTGCATTTCCCAACTCCCATCGATAGTGGAAATAATCGATTTTTTTCATGCTTCTACGGCAGTTTTCATGTAGTTTGTGGCCATTTTCTATTGGCCAGCATGAGAGCCAACAGCTGACTGACACAAATGTTAACTAGCATGCAAAAAAAAAAAAAAAAAAAATCGATAGCTGTATTCGTCACAAGTGGGAAAAATTCAAATCTCCATGTCACTTTACTCCAATTGGCTCATTCGCTTGCTTAAACTCAACGTTGATTCTGATTCCGCAGAACTGGGTGGGGTGTGAAAAAGTATTTGTTGTTAACATTCTTTTTTCATTCAGTTTTTCCACTTACGAGTCCTTTTTTAAAGCTGATCATTTTGTTTAGTTCTTTTTTCGTAACAGATTTAATGTTTAGTATAGAGCTTAGAAAAATTTTGCATGAGATAGGCAAGAAGTAAGGCATACGGCAAAGGGCACTCCTTTAAAGGCAAGGAAGGGCAAAAATATTTTAAGTCAAGTGATAGCAATTGCTTTATGAGTCGTACAATTTTTGAATCAAGCACAGGCAACACCGGGCCATGCTGCTAGTCTCTTATATGAACAAAAGTTTTAATATATTTGTTCAATAATTCCTAGCTGTTTTCTCATACATTACCTAACTGATCTGAAACTAAAGGGCCAATCAATGCATAAAGAATTTATTATGATATAAAATTTCACATACACTACAGACATTGTAAATAGCAGTTGACTAGCAACTGCAAGAGTAAATGTTGCCTTTGTATTGCCATTGCGGCTGAACAGAGATTTATGATTATTTTTGTTGAAGCTTTCAATTGGAATGACTGCAAGATATTCATGGACAAAAGAGTTAGTTTAGTAAATAAATCCCATTATTGTTTAACATTAAACACACACACAGAGGTGAATATCAAAATTTAGAATATCATGAAAGGATGCAATATCTTTTGACAGTTACTTTAGAAAGATCAAATTGATTGTATTATAGATTCATTATGTGTAAAGTAAGATGTTTTAAGTATTTTTTAAATTTTAATAATTATAAATGAATTAAGAAAAATGAGATTTAGTAATGGAAAAAAAAGACAAGATAGATTTTCTTGCAATCAATCTAACAAAGTTAAAATAATTGAACAATGAAAACTACTCCAAGAATTCATAATTTTTTTTTTTATCATTTCATCCCAAGTAGGACAATAAAGCCACTAAGAAAGGATGAAAAAAAAAAAAAGAAAAAAAAAAGAAATCTGAGAAAATATTGAGTTGAAAGACCAATATGAGAAGAGAATTCAAGCAGACAGAATATGATGGTTAACATTGTATATAAATTTTTGAAGAGCACAGATGACAGGAAAGCAAAAAGCCAAGAAATTGACATTTAGCAATTTCACCAGTAAAATAATGAGAACAATTGCCATGAAATATTTATGGAAAAGGTACAAGATTATAAGATCATCCCTAAGTTTTGACTCTTAAAAGTATTTCTTTTGTAAAACTTGAAGCAAACATAGATCCAAATATACTAGATAACTCTGGCCAATTAGAATTATGAAGGAAAATCTTTTTTTTATTGTTGAAACTATGACATCCTCCCAACTAATATAAGAGCAAGATTCAACTTAACAATGCTTATAAAACTGAAAATTCTCCCAATTTGCTCTTATGTTATAAAGTAAAAATAAGCAAGTTAAAAAATTCTATCAATGCAACCAACTGATTTTTAAACTGTATAGAGAACTAATATTTTCCTAAGAATTTTAATATTTCTCAAAAGCTGGGATTGGTTTTCAATACAGGAGAAGCCATATAGAATCAATTTCAAATATTTTTGGATATTATACTTTGGATTTCTTTTTCAGTTTTGTGTCGAATAAAATGGGAGGAGAAGTGGAAGAAAGTCAAGTGAATAACTTTTGTTGGGAATTGCCATTAAGTCAACTGCAGTATGAACTTGGTTCAAATGTTGTTCCTATTGGTGCTATTAAAACAGGAATCCATTGCCATAGAGCTTTGTTGTTTAAGGTGATTTTACTGTTAATTCTATTTTTCTGCAACATTTAAAGATTCAATAAAATTTCAATGAATAAAATGTGAGTTTAAAATTAAGCTATTTTATGTATTAATTTGGAAACTCACTTTATAACCAAACTAATTTCATGGATTACAACAATTATTAGTTGTTAATCAGGAGTTACAATTGATAAGTCAAGGGAATTTGGCAGTGATATGTGTAATTATAGACCTCATTATTCTTACTGAAATTTCATTTTTAGATTTTATTAAAGTTTTCTCTCCATCCTGACCTCAAATTTTTGAAATATTTAATTTGGTTCTTCCGTTTAGGTTTTGGCTGACCGTTGTCTTATTCGCTGTTCATTGGTGCGAGGAGAATATAACAAAGCCTGGAATGTTGTTCTACTTGGAGATGAGAACAGCACAAATGAAAATTCTGAAAACCATGCTGGTCATATTCTACTCAAGGTCAGTTGTGTTGGATTAACAAGATCTGGTTTGGTGTAGCTTTCTATACTTTCAAGATACATCCCTTATTGAATGTAAAATGAGTGTTATCTGAGTTCAGACTAATGGATGCTCAAAGAGGCTATCAGGTACAAGTGAATCAAGGATATATGATATGTGGAGATTCTTACATCATTTTTCAGCTTAAGATTCCTTAGTCTTTAATCAAATGGTTTGAAATTTAATACAAGATGTCTGAGTGTAACTAACAATTACTACAATTGACTTAAGCATCTTTCTTAAACAGTTTTATCAATCCAGTAATAATTTCAATGTTTCTCTCTAAAAATTTAAACCTAAATCTATATGGATATATTTTATTAATAAAAGAAAATATGACGGATATATTCATTACTTACAAGCAACCATTTAAATTATAAAGAATGTTCCATGAAGAAGAAAAAAAAACAAACATTTGTAGATGCTTTGAATATTAAATTAATCTCTGATAAACCATTTATAGTAATTATGAGGTTGTTAAGAAAGGGAATGAACAAGATATTTTTTCCATTGCCAAAAATAAATCTCTAAACTAAATTTGTCTTTTTTTTTTTTTACAGAAACAAACTGTGCACTTTCCTCCAAAAGCTTATATTGTGGATCTGATCTATGAACCTGGTCGACTGATGAAAGCAGATTCTCCAGAAGCCATGGCTTATTGTCGGCTCTGATGTTTCCATTAGTATTGCTGGTTTTTCTACAATGGCTCAATGAACTTGCTCAAATAACCCATTAATTATAATAAATATCTAGATTACTCAAAAACATTTTGGATTTTCTTCCTGCAGCATTGGAAATGGAGTGATAAAAATAAGCAGATCAAATTTGTTCTTTCAGATTTCATGTATTGTTTTGGAACTAGCTAGCAAAAATGAACAAATTTTTAAAGACAATGAGTTTTTATATATATATATATATATATATATATATATATATATATATATGTGTGTGATGGATGTTTCTAATACTTTCCAAAATGAATTATTTTTGGAAAGCTGAAATAAATTATCTTTTTCTTTTTTATATATTTTAAATATGTGTTTAGTTTAATCAGATCAGAGATGACAAGAGTGATTCAAATATCCAAAAAAAAAAAAAAAAAAAACAGCACAGACAGAATTTGAGATCATGCTTTACAAGTAATCCACCAAGCAAATATTTTTTTTTTATTATTATTATTAAAATTTTACTTTCAGAAGATATTGACGAGTTGCTGCTTTGGAAAAAGAAACATCTATTTTATTTCAGTTATATGATAATTAAAATCAATTAGGGGAAGTAACTTAATTGTGTACTTGTAGAGTTGTTTCCCTTGCTAAATATTTTTTTTTCTACTCTATTCAGTCAGTTATGTGCCATGCGTGAGGCGATCATGTATCTTTCAATACATGACGAGGCAGATTATTTCCCGCAGTAGGTTGGTATTCCTTTTTGCGGTAGACTAGTTGCAATCCAAAGCTATAGAACCCGGTCTCTCGTGCTATTTACCCATTCATACCTTTCCCAAGGGTATTAACATGTAAGTGAATGTAATGGATTTGACTGGAATTCGAACACGGCTCTCTGATTTCTCAATATTACTCCACCGTGCCCTTACTCTATTAGAGAAAATAAATGTTATAGTGAGAAATTAATAAAACAAGCAATGTTACTTTACATTGGAATCTTTAGATGATGTTATTGATGTTTTTATTAAAGTTCCCATTAGAAATGAATAATCTAAGATTGCTTATGCTTTTATTAAATAAAATGAAAACAATTTAAGAAAACTTGATGAGGAAAGAAATTTTAAAGATATGGACGAAAAATCTATTGGAACTCATTTTTATTCAGAATATATTAAAAACTAACAAAATATGTCTTTCAACATAGAGAAGTATAAAATATTTACGAAATTTTCAAAATTTAAAGACGTTTTTATTGTGTGAATTGCTTCTTTCCCCCTTTAATTGGGTTGTTGTCGATGAATGCACAAAGTATTTTTATGAATATCAACAAAAATGTAATATCCTTTATTATCCACAGAGTTTTGATTTGACATTTTCAACCAATTCTAAATGTTGATGTTTTTATTTATCTAGCTTTTAGTGTTGCACCAACTTACTATATTAAAAATTTGGTCCATTAGACAAATATTAATTTTCTGCAGGTTAAAACAATTCAACCGATTAAACAGAAAAATATTAGCTGCGAGAATGTACAAATATAACTTACGGTTGTTACTTGATACAAGGAGGTTAGCCATATGGTGACTTATTTGCAAATAGGTTTGCAACAGAAAGTATAGAGTTTGTTAAAAACAATTGGGATTTGGAAAGAATTATTCAATTTCCATTTTGTTGTTTTGGACATTAATCTTTTATTTTCTTTTATGTATAATTGTTTTTGTTACTTCAGTATTTTGGCAAAGATATTCTCATCAGGTGGAATATGTAAGAAGAAAGGAAACTTCCTTTCTTCAGGCTTTGGGTACCCAAACAATATTGGCTCTGTTAATGAGCCTTCTCAAAGTTATAGACAATATTTTTCTCAGTTGTCTATAAACCATATTTTGTAGGTGTAATGTTAAAAGGGTCTGATTGCATTTTTTTTTTTGTGAAATGACAAAATCATCTGCCATCTTATAGAGATCAGATTGCTCATTTCAACATGGAAAAAACATGGAAAAAGAGAATATGTCAACATACACTCTGTTAGAATAATTCTGACATTAGGATTAAGAAAGTTAAGGCCAAGACATTTGAATCATCACTTGTGTTAGTTCAGTAGACAATGATTATGATAACTAATCTTCTTAAATCAAATTAGACTAAGATTCTGTTTAAAGTAAATATATTGCAGATTTATATCAGTTCATTTAATTCATACTCACTCGCACATGACAAGAACAAGATTAATTTGCCATTGAATAGAATTAACAACCATAATAGATTACAAAAAATATTGCCTCAATTGCTTTTATTCATAAAAAAAAAAATTTCACTCTTATTTAACACAACAAAAAAAAAAAAAATCTAAAGTAGGTTCTTGACAGTGGATGTAACAAAAGATCACCATCATCTCTTTGGATGCAGACTAATTTTCAAACTCCACTCTACTGTTGTTTTGTGCATTTTATAGAAATGTAAACCTAACCATAAAATTTCTAGACATTCAGAATTCAAAACAAAGTGAACTAAATCAAGAATACCAATCTGGAATTAAAAAAAAACCCCCAAAAACCCTGGTTAAAACTGAACTATTCATTTATAAACAAGAAACAATGGCCATCCCAATTAGTCTACAAATGTCACTGGGTTCAGTCATTTAGAGCTAATCTTGAAGCTATTCTTTGCATTTTCAAAACTTATTTCTGACCACAATGGAAGTTATGATAAAAACTACAGAAATTAAGATCAAAGAAAAACAAATAAAAAAAATAATTCATGAAAATTTTAAAATAATTATATTATCAATATAAACATATATGAATAATGGTGAGGACATATCAGAAATTAGTAGAATATAAGAAATATGGTTAAATTTGTATAAAGCTGATCTTTATCACTGAATTGGGAAAGCATTTGTTGCATTAAGTATATTGAATTGCAATTCCTTTTTGAACGTTCAATAGTTTACAGTTACATCAGGCTAAAACACTGGTTCCCATATGATCACCAAAGTTAATTAACATTCAATCCTGGTCAGTACCTAGATAGGTGACTGCTGGGAAATACCAGGTGTTGAAAGCTTAGATGTGCAGGTGGTGTAATTGATAATGGCTCAGAATTGTTAAAGAGCTGAGTTTCAATTCCCTTTAGGTTTACTATATTCCCTTTACTTTGTAAACTACAGAGATTCTTGTTTTAACAAATTCTAGATCAAAACATCCTTAATTTTAACTTCAATTCTTATACAGTGTAACCCGGATATAAGAGAAACCCGAATATAAGAGATATTTTCTCTGGTCCCAAAATTAGAGCCTGTGTTAATGTATATAAAATAGACCAAACCCGGATATAAGAGAAACCCGGATATAAGAGACTTCTTCTCCGGTCCCGACAACTCTTATATCTGGGTTACACTGTAGTATCAAAATCCAAATTTGATTACCCTTGGGAAATGTATGAATCCACCTCTTTTTCCCCAGCTATGGATTAATTAGTAAGATTTGTATCACTAAACCATTTTCATTTGAAAAAAATTCTTGCAATCTTAAAAATATATTTTAAATATTTTCAGGCTTGCTTTAAATAAACTGCAAAAAGTTTATACATGGTAGAAAATGAATGAATCAATCCATGTACTCTCAATAGTACTAGATGCTTTCTTAAACACATTTGTTTAATCTATGGTTTATATTTTGAATGAAAGCTGAAAAATGAGTTGTACAAAGACTGAGTTCAGCTGCCCAAATAGCTTTTGGAATGAACATAAAATTAGTTATAAACTACTGCTTAGTAACACATTTTAACTATACTTTTGCAAGCAGTTTGAAATTTGCTAAATTTTCTGTAAGAATTTGCAGTGGATATATAATCAATCTTTAATAATTTGTGACACCATTTTGGGAAGAAAAGAAGAGAAAGAAATGAAATTTTGATAGTGACAAATGGTGAAAGGTTTCATTACCATTGCCGAAAATTTTAAATAGATAAAAAATTAACTGTGGCGTGGTGGCCGTCTTATATTATCGGGAATAGATAACAGCCACTTGGTGCTGGCGAAAATCTAATTGACAAATTCCAGATCGGCTAGCTAAACTCCGGGACAGAATAGATAAACATTTAACTGTGTCACGGGACTGCCCTGACCACACACGAGCTAAAGTAAACAAAGAAAAATAGGTTAAGTCTTTGTCGAGGGAAAGATATCGTTAGACAAGGTCTGGGTTTTGTTAGAATCTGGCGATAAGAGCGAAACAATATTATCGGAAAAGTTGGCCGTATTTGCTGGACGACCACCCACTGATAATTGGCGAAAATCTGACTGACGAAGTCCAGATGAGAATTGAGGTTATCACACTACTGGTCGCATTGTTCTGTTGGCGGCCAGAGAAGGAGAGAGAAAAGAAAAAAAAGAAAAAAAAAGAGGAGATGATTCTTTTTTTTCTTTGAGCAAGATATTTTTTTTTTAAAAAACAAGGCTAATCTGGTCACGCCCACACTGTTGATCGACCATTGGATGAATGTTAACGAGAGCCAGGCGGAGGTGATCATGTGATGCAGGGGAGGAGGCCTGTTACTACTCCTTAAAGAGGATAGGTATAAGATGTTACTGTGAAGAAGTGGGGGGGGATCGTTGACGCCCTCTGAAGGTAGGGGTAAAAGAAGACTTCCAAAAATGGAAATAATAAATTTTTCCTGACCGAAAACAAAAGGGGATTGTGGGTTTGGAATTATCAAGGAACCTCAAACCCCAACAAGCCCACCCCGGTTTTGGTCGGCGTCCATATAAACAAAGTCGCAGCAAGCGAAAATCAGAGTTTCCCAGTTCAGATCAGCTCCCAGTTCGCAGTTGAAGTGGGCCTCGCAAAGCTGACTTGTAAGATTCGCGCAACTTCCGAACTCACCTTCAATCCAAGAACAATTTATTTTTGAAGAACGACTTAGATCCATACCACCAAAATAAGTTTTACGACCATCGCCTGAAGACACACCAAGAACCAATTTCTTAAAGAACAGACAACTTA